AAGACTGTAATAGGCTTTGGTTTCCAGAAATCTCTTTAAAGTTTTTCTAAATTGTCCATAGTCCTCCACACCCTTTATTTCATCTGGCAGCTTGTTGAAGATCTTTATGCTCTCATATATAATAGAATTTTTCGTTAAGGCAAATTTCGGAATGGGTAATGGAAAATTTTGGTTGCGTAGGTTGTAACCAGTGTCTCTCACTATATCATTATTTTTAAATTTTTTAAATATTAGACAGGCCGTTTCCAAAAGGAATATGCAGGGAACTGTCAAAATTCTTTCCCGTTTAAAAAAGTGGTCTGCAGCTCTGTCCGTATCCTGCATGGCAAATATATCTAACTGCTCTTTTTTGTAATACAAAAACCCGATTGGATAGAGTTTTGAGTGGAAAACCCCCAGAATGCTATTCCATAGCGAAGATGCGATTCGATCAGTGCATGATATGTTGTTTTCGCGGCAGGCTTACCCAGTTCATGTGCTATAGATTTAACTATATAACATCCTTGTGAATGTTTTTTATTCAATAAATCTATGTGTTTGTCGAATCGCAGCTTCGAATCTATGTGCAATCCAAGAAATTTAGCTGTTTCTTTCTCTGCGATAACATTTGCATCTAGTGAAATATAATATCTTCATACTCTCAAAATATAGAAAATCATAAGTAATTAAACTATATTATTCTTTAGCATCCTATCAGTAGTGCCTGAGACATAATATACAATTTGTGTTATCAGTTTTAAACTTTGGCAGGTTTTTATTAATTATAAACTGATTGTGGATTTCTGTGGGTCATGGAAGTCCATAGATTTCCACAGATTTCTGTGGATATTCACCGAAGACTTGGATTTCTGCGGATTTTTGTGGATTTGTGCGAATTTTTGTGGATTTCTTTGGATTTCTAATGGATTTCTGGTGTACACATTTTAATCAGCTGTTTACCCCTCGGCTTTTCTTGTTTTCTCTTTTCTGCATTCCATTCATTTTTGGACCTCTGTAGAAATCTGGAAAAGGATCAGTCAAAATACACCACAATGCTCACTTCTCTTTTAGTTTTCTAAGCTTTATAGGAACTATCGTTTCATTTTCAAAATGTTTTCTTTTCTTTTTTCATTTAGCATGAACAAAAATATGTTTCTAGAACCGAGATAATCGATTGTCAACTGATTAATCTTATCACAGTTAAATAAACAGAAGTATCAAAAAAGTTGTGAAATGTGAAATCGAAAAAAATCAAAGTAAAACGTTTATCGGCAAAAAAAAACGCCTCAAAAATTGTATGTTATAAGTTTTATTTATGAATTTACAAAAAAAAAAATGCCATTTTTTGAATTTTTATAAAAAGAAAAAGTCGACGAGGATGGGATTCGAACCCACGCGGGCAGAGCCCATTGGATTAGCAGTCCAACGCCTTAACCACTCGGCCACCTCGTCATAGTTTATTTTTGTTCAAAGATGATTCATGTAAAAATAGTGAGACTCTTATTTTTTTCCTTTATAAAAAAGCTTAGGATAAATAGTATACAGGGTTGTTCTCTAATTGAATCTCAATATTTAAAAGGACGATTTTTTTTGTACATTTTAAGAAGAAAACTTTATATGAACGGAGGTATCTCCTAAACATCTTTTTGAGATACCTACAGGGTGATAAAGTTTTCAAAAATAAATCATTTATTATTAATACCTATCTTCAAAACCACTTTAGATGTTAATGAACTTTCGCATACGTACCCCTCGTTTTTATTCTCATGGGTGACTTCACCGATGAGTAAACTATCTTTGTTTAGTGAATGGAAAATGACAATGACGGCCATAGAATGATGGATCCATCGGTAAAATTTGATGAGAATAAAAACGCAGGGGTACGGTACATGTAGGTACTAAGTCATCCAGAGTAATTTTTTAATGAAGTAATACTAGGTATGTACATTCATGGAGTAGGTATACCTACAGTGACTCTATTACCCACAGTGGCGACAATTGCTGTCTTATTTTTGATTGGTTCTATAAAATCCCATATATGTATAATATGTAATCGCGGCCATCTTGTTCCCACGTATTGCTTATCTCAAAATATGAATATATGGGATTTGGATGAACATCCATCATAAAACATGGAAAACAACGTATTTGATGGACCTAATAAGAGTCATCAAATACGTCGATTTCATTTTTTTATGATAGATGTCCATTTAAATCCTTTATATTAATATTTAAAAGTAACAAGAGGTTGGAAACAAAATGGCGGCGGGACCTCTATTGTCGCCACTGTATGTAGAGGTTTATTAGGCCACTGTAGGTATACCCACTGATCGAAGCGGCACACTGTTACGTCATCACTGGTGCTTTGGCATGGTGAGGGGCTAGAAATTTGAACTGCACAGGCCTTATGAGGATCCTCATGAACAGCGTATCATTTCTCGACTTGACGTAGGGTGCACCACAAGTTATGGTTTCGCGGGTTTATGCTTTATGCATGCTTATAATAGTTTGCATCTTCCTCTTTGCTCATTATGTTAATCAAAATTAAAAAATAGGTCTGCTTTCTGCAGAAATCACAAACCAGTCAGGAATTTCATTGGCTAAAAACTTAGGTTGAAACAGTCAGAAACAGTCAGAAAACTAGTTTCAATCAATCTGATTGGTTTCTGATTTCTGCAGAAATAGACCTATTATTATATTCATCATAAATTTAAATTCTAAACTACGACCGCTGCTGGCGCAAACAGCTGACGACTTAGTTAATGACGTCGGCAATGGTGCTACACCATATATGACAGCGATTATCAAAAACGAGGCCGATAAGCAATCCTGTGTATTATCATTATGTATTATCCTTGATTCTATTCTTGACCGTGACCTTTATTATTTGGTCATGGCTATCTGTCTTTTTCTAAAAGTTTGTAATGTAAAATATAAAGACGCGCAGACGGTCTGCGTTTTGTTTTATGTACCTACACAGGTTCGATCAACTGGAATACGTGTTGGAAGCAATTTCCGCCATTTAACGTAATGAGGGCGACAAAAATAGGCATTTCCTCCGCAGCAGCAGCACTAGGCTTGTTGGTTATAGTTCATCGGTCAGAACAATTTAAAAATTACTGAAAAACTTCTAGATTGCTCCGGAACTCTTCAAGAAAAGTTAGAACACTTTAGAACTACAAAAAGCCATTTAGAAAGTTCCAAAACACTTTCCAGCAGCATTTTGAAAGGCTTTTTTTTTTCAATTTGGACAAAAACAGTAAGAAGTTACTTTGGGCTAAGGCCCCATACCTACTGCCGTCTAGGGCCCGGTAGAGCCTTGAACCGGCGCTGCGCAGACCGCGCTCTCGCCATATCGGAATGCCATGACGCTATTGGACATAACAGCTATGACGTAATTTAAAATAAGTAGGTACAATTTTTTTTGTTATCAGGCATATTTTTTTGTTTTTTAAACTAAAAAAATCACTATTTATTTTGTTATGTAAATTGAGTGAAAATTCATTAAAAAAAATATTTTAAAAAATTGTTCACTACCTATTAAAAAATACCTATAAATTATTTCCTGGATAAAAAAAGTTTGTCAGAAGTGGGATTCGAACCCACGCCCTCAGAGAGGACCAGAACGCTCGAAACCTACAGAGTAGGCAAGGAAACCTTGAGTCTGGCGCCTTAGACCGCTCGGCCATCCTGACACGTTTAAAAATTTGGTGAAAACGGAAGATATCTCGCGCAATGAGATTGTACTTATTGATAGGCCTGTCTGCTGCATTGTAAAAAAAATGAATAATAACAGATCATTTAGAATAATTATTATTTTGTGCACGGTCCGGTCAAGGGTCAAGGTATAGTTATAAGCAGAGATGGGTTTAGACCGGGTTTTTTGGAAAAAACCCTAAAAACCCTTTGGAAAGAACCGGTTTTTTCGAATAACCGTATTTCAAAAAACCGGGTTCATTGAAACAACCCGGTTTATTCAAATTTTGGGTTTAAACCCTGATTTTTCTTAAAAAACCCAATAAACCCAAGTTTTTCATTTTTTGCTTCTCTAGGAACACTTTTTAACCAAATCAAACTTTTAAATGATAATTATTAGGATAAATAATAAGTGTTTTATTATTTTTAAATAAACTGAATAAAAAAAAACAAAAAAATAAACTCGATACAAAAGAAAACAAAACATAAAACTACCTAGAGAAGAAAACCTATTTTTCCTAGAAACCCCCAAAAAATCAAAAAGGGTTTAAACCCGCATCACTGAAAAAACCCGGGTGGGTTTAAACCCAAACCGGTTTTTTGGGTTTAAACCAAAAAACCCGTGGACCCATCACTGCCCTAATAACACAGTAACATCGCAGAAACGTTCCAGAAACATCCATCAGGGATAATAAAGACATCCCTGGGAGATCCCTATTTTCCTGGGGACATCCCTGGGATGTTGCTGGCAACAGCCATGTCATCATTTGCGATGTCCTGGAAACATCCCTCAGGGATGTTTCTAAGATGACTTGGGATGTACTTAATACATCCAGGGCAGGTATATGAAACATCCCCAATAAGTTTCTTGTATGACTTTGGGGATGTTTCTAAGATGACTTGGGATGTACTTAATACATCCGGGGCAGGTATATGAAACATCCCCAATAAGTTTTTTGTATGACTTTGATAGGAAAATGAATTTTAGGATTATGGATTAAAAATTACCTAATTCGATAATTTTCAATTTTTGTTATACTTTTTTTGAAAGTCAGATGGGATTTTTTTTTTCAAAAAAATAACAAAAATTAAAAATTATAAAATTAAGTAGATACATCAGTTCCGAATAATGTTTTATTGAAGACATATATAACTTACAATAATTGTAATACAGAAATAAGTATTCACCTCAACTAATAAACTTTATACTCTTAAAGGCGGGTATTATAAAACTACTTTGAAAGTTAACTTAAAGTTAACTTCTGAAAACACATGTAATTCAAAAAATTAACTGCAAGTTAACTGTCAAAGCAGTTTTATAATACCCGCCCTAAGTCTAACTTCTCGCGTAAAATGTTGCTGATGGACAATTTCTTGCTCAAACAATGTAGTATTATATCATGCCCCGTGATCGAAAACCATAGTTTAGCAGCAGGAAGTGGAGAAGTTTGGCGTTTTCATAAATAAAAAATTCACAAAATTTGAACTACTTGCCAATGGTAAATTTTTGCGGTTTATTATCCAAAAATGTGCCATTAATACAAGGCTAGACCTTGCAAAAGGGCTTTAAACCCGTGAAAATCTTCTAGCATTATTACAGCCTTGTTAATGGCACATTTTTGAATGACACATGATATGCTACAAAAATTGACCATCGGTACTAATTAATTATGCCTACAACAAACTTCCCCACCACATGCTGCCAGACTATGGTTTTTGGTCACTGGGTGTAATACTACATCGCTTAAGCAAGAAAGTGTCAATCAGCAACTTTTTACAGCAAAAAAAATCACTGGCTCTTTAGACTATCATGTATTATGACTAAACAACAGAAAAATAAAAATCAAAAACTTAACTTCTAAATCTGCTTATGAAGAAGAAACTAAAATTTGAAACTATAAAAAAGGTTCCGAGTTCTTTTTTAATTTTTCTTAGTCTCTGCTCTGACCCTTCGCTCTTTTGCCCTCCTCAACCAGTCACCGATCCTCAGTTCTATTTCTTTTTGATTGTTGGAAATACCTGATTTTTGGGCAGCATCTGCAATTATTATTTTGCTTTTAATTGTTACATATGTGTCCTGATGCCCGCAACATAAGCAAAGAGTTATTGTCCGTCGATTTTTATCCGATACTCGGACGGAATGTGAGCTGGTGGCTCCCTACATTAGAACGCCAATGGTTACCTGACATCACACCTGTTTTTGCCATATGAAACACCCCTTCGCTCCTCATACCGCAAGTATCAGTTAAAAATCGACGAACAATACTTGGGAAAGATAATGAAAATAACTGCTAATTTTGAAAGTAAAAGATTAAATTATGGAAATGTAGCAATACCCAGAGAAATCACGGCGTATTTTAAATTTGTACTCAGAAGTGATATTAAAAAAAAGCTAATTGAATTCATACAAAATAGTTATTTATGCAACAAGTGTGTAAAGTGAACCTTTTTTAACAAATGTGAATTTAAGGCGAGTGCGACAATCACATGAGTGAAAAAAGGTGCTTTACGCACGTATTGCATACAACATTTTTTCTACTACCAATCAAATATGTGTAAAAAAATTGATTTAGACAAATACTTTACGCACTAGTGCGTAAGTATTTTCACTTTACGCACTAGGGGGTGAAGTAATTTACCAGAAAAATACTAAATTGACAGCGTCGACCTTTGTCATTGACATTACTTTACGCACTAGTGTGTGAAGTGAATTACTTTACGCACTAGTGCGTGAAGTGTAATTTTACGTCTTCTAAATAGTGCGTAAAGTAAGCACTTTACGCACGGTAGTAGAAAAATATTATTGCTAATAGTTTCAACAGGTATTTTCATGATATCGGGTCTTCAAAAAAAAAACAATTAGAGATTGTTTTGATTACGAAAACGTATGTCTAATTATTATTTGTTTATTGGTCCCGATTTTTGACATGACTTTTTGACATTGAAGTTCATTGACAAAATTGAAGAAAAATATTGCTAAGAAATTATAATACGTTTAAAAATCCATAGTAATCTTTGATTATTATTGTTTTTTTTTTGAAGACCCGATACCATTCCCTATGTTGCGCTTGCTTAGACACTTACTACATAAAATATGTTGCGATTTTTCATCCTTATAATTTGGAAAAACATATTTAAATTAAACTTTTCACAAATATAAGAACGATTAACAAAAAAATTTCTATATTTACCAATTATTGCTTTTGCCAAACTGCTGGAGCCAAAAACACTTTTTCCTTTTTTCCCAAGGAAAGAGAACTGTTCTGCTAGGGTATCACTCACCAATGGAGCAATACAACGTCTCACGAACTCGTAAAGATTTGAACCACCCATTTTTGTAAACAGTTGCACCTACAAACCAAAAAATAGATTATTAAAAGCTTCATCAAAAGATCTAAATATAATGATAATATGTAGCTAAATTAATGAATACGGGATGTTTACCAATGCTGAATAGTTTTCCGATACAGAAAAAAATTTGTTGAATTGCACAAAAGTCTCTTTTGTTTCAATTGGAAAATCCAAATTGGACTTTTCCAAGATATTTTTTATTTCTTGATCATCATGGGTGGTACACTTATGATTGGTCACTTTTTCATTAATTTCTACTAAAAGTGCCTGTATGTTATACAGGATTTTTGAGTTGCAACATCCTGGCCGGTTTTCTGACTCTGTTAGCTTATTACCTAAAATACAATAATTGAACACAAAACATCTAGTTTTGAAATCAGTTTACCAGTTGAGTTTTCTCTTATTTGTTGAAGTTGACCGCTCTTTTTTGCTGAAATCAGTTCATTAGCCAAGTTTTCCTCAATTTGTTGAAGTGGACCGCTCTTTTTTGCTACAGGTGTAGCAGAGCTGCGGCTTTGAATTTTACGATTTTCTACATATTCTATATCATCTGAAACAGCACAGGAATAATAAGACACTTTATAAAATAATTGATTAGGTACTTTTTGTTGAACTTGGTACATATTTTACCTTTTGAATTATTATTTTCATTTTCAGAATTCATCATCATGTCCTTGTGTGTGGTTTTATCTTCCCAAGTTGGGGGGGCAGGAATTTTTTTAAATTTTATAGGTAACTCATCAGAATCTGATCTATCAGAATCTGATGAAGAAAAAACTTTTTTTTTTCTCAACCTCTTTGAAGGTGTCACAGTGGCGTCACAGTCCTCAGTGTTGAGGTCACTTGTTGTTTCAGCCTTGGCTGCCTTTTTTCGAGCAAGTGCGTAATTATCTAAAAATAGCATAGTAAAGGATAGTGCAAAAATGACGCTATTATACAGGGTGTCCCACAATCAGCGTTACAGGCCATAACTTTCTTATTTTTAGATTTTTTCAAATGGCACCCTTAATTTTTTTTTTTATTTTTAAGAAGTTCATGAAATTGCAAATTCAATAATGTATGAAAAGTTTGTTTCTTCATGTTTCCTTGGGAAAAAAATTCAAAAATGAAAATAATAATAATGGGGTTCTATTTGAAAAAAAAGGCAAGAGTTGTTTTTAGGGGATGAGTTTGTTAGGGAAGATTTTTTTAATATTCTTGAAAAGGGGTTAATTTGCACACAATTAATTTTTTTTTGTCATATTTTTATTTTTGTAGACAAAAATGTGATTGCCTGTTGCCTGTACATATAAGACTAAGGGTGGGACACCCATTTTTTTTCCCCCAAGAGACATGGAAAAACAAACTTTTTATACACCATACAAATTTGTAATTTCATAAGCTTCTCAAAAATTTAAAAAAATAATAGGGGTGCCATTTGAAAAAAAAAGTCAAGGGTTGTAAATAGGGGATGATTTTTTCAGGGGATGATTTTTTTATATTTTTGAAGAGAGCTTAATTAGCCGTTAATAATTTTTTTGTTTCAAATTTTTATTTTTGAAAATAAGAAAGTTATGGCCTGTAACGCTGATTGTGAGACACCCTGTATATTTGTTGTACAATGCATGCATTTTGCAGCTCAAGACGAGAAGTCAAGAGCTGCAGTAAATTACTTTCAATACGGTGGATTAAAAGTAAATTAAAATGGGGTTGAATGCTGTGTGCACATTAAGCAATTAAGCAAAAGAAGGTTTGTATATCGTGCAAAAATCTTTATTTAGAAATATCAGTGCATAGCGCTTTCGGCCTTTCTGATGCGATTTTGTTTTTTCTGATAGCATTAAAAGAAAATATAGAAAAAAACTGTCAAGTTTTGTATTTAATTTTTTTTTTCTATTTTAAATAGTAAAAGCTGTAAGTATGGGTCCAAGTATAATCAAATACCCAGTATATGAGAATAGAAACCATTTTTTTTTGGATTAATCCTTGGACAGATTCAGGAAAGCTATTGGTGGCTTTGGTTTATGTGATTTTTGTAGAAAACTAGTGTATTATGTATATGTATGATTATGACAAACAAAAAATGGATAGATAAAGCTTTACCATATGTTGCATTCCTAAAGGACCGCACTTTATGTAAGGGCCAACAGGAATTAAATTCACATCTTTTAATAAGGGCATGCAGTTTTTCCCTAGTTACTGCAGGCCACAAACATTCGTCACCATTTATCCACCGGGTAGGGACTGCTTCCACACTGTCATCTGCTGTAAAGCACACAACAGTCCATGTTTTATTTGGTGATGCCATTATGGCCTGAAAAAAAAAAAAAAAAAAACACCGAAAAGTGATGCAAAAAAAGGTTACATTGTGTGTGAAAATTTGGCCACTTAATAGGAAAATCAATTATCTATAGCGGGATATGGACAAAATAAATGGCATGTACAGGGTCTTCGATTATATTTGAGCCCCTACCTACAGCCTTTACTTATACCATAACCTGGGACCCGGATCACGAACCCTCGACTCGATAGTATCGTCCATATGAATTACATGGACGATACTATCGAATTGTGGGTTCGTGATCCGGGGGACAGCCAGTTCAGAAAGGGCAGTCTATCATAAGCGGTTAATTCAAATTGCCTTCAATTATTTGCACAGTTGCATAAAGAATGCGGGTAGTCTGCAAATTTTCAAAAATAGATTGAAGTGTTGCTTGCTGGGTGAATGATATAGTTGACTTTTTTGTTTCTATTTTAGTTTTGAGTTTTGTAATTATTGTCTGTTGGTGATACTGTATACCTATATTGTTTAATTTTATTTTCTTTTTTTCTTTTTTTTAGGTTTGTAAGAATTTATACCTAATTGTATTTTGTTTTATGTATTAGCCAGGTGCTAAATAAAGGATTATTATATTATTTTTTGCATTTATAATACTACAATACGTCAGAAAATGATCAGATATTCCCACATCCCTGACTCCCACTTCAAAATTAGTTTCCTCATTTGGTATTAAAATTATATCTAAGAGGGAGGCTGATGTCTTTGTAACCCTAGTAGGTTCCTCAATGACCTGTTTCAAATTCAGAGACTGCACATAGTCACAAAAATCAGAAACATTTTGGTCACCTAAGTTCAAAAGGTTCAAATTTATATCACCTCCGCAGACTATTTCACTGTATTGTGAATTTTGTATAGATAAATAAATAAAGAAAAAGAAAATAGAAATAATGTTTTGAGGCGTCACAAACAGAATAGTTTCAATTAAATTGTGTGAATTAAAGGAAATACAACAAATTTGTTTTCGAACCTTAACCTGACACATTTATAAGCAATTTGGCTTATATTCCAAGCTTGAAGCTGATGGTCTTTAGATTCACGTACTAAAAATATGTTTAGTTTGGATGACTCACACGGCGAGGTATAGAAGTTTCTTAAGCATGAAAAAGTCTGTCCAATTATTTTAGTTTGGGTATTATGGCATATAATATTTTTTATGACAACTATAGTTCCATCATCAAGTGCACAACAATTGTCAGCTTCGTCTAAAGATAACAAAAAGGTTTTAAAAATAATTTTTTTGAATTGCTTCATGATTGACGTATTGGCATCTCCAATAAGTGGGCCTCTAGAATGCTCTATTTCAAGTTTGGGAAATATACTATTACTTTTGTTTTCTGTTGAAATTTTGTTTGTCCTCTCAGAAATTCTATTAACAATTTGTTGTAAAGGTTTGTCACCTTTGCGTACAAGGTTTTTGATGAACATCATATGATTCTCAAAAGGGAAAGCACTAAAATTTTCAATGCTTCCAAATGTTTTTACGTCATCAGTCAGATGTAACAAGTTATGAACATTATGGGAAACATTTTCCTTCCCATAAATTAAAGAAAATGCTTCCACAAAATGATTCAATAATTGTTGAGCATATTCTAAATTTTGATATTTGGACAACAAGGTCATTGATACATGAAGGCTTAAAAAGTTTTCATAAATTTCTTCTCGAACATAGTGTTTCAAAACCACAGGACCCGTATAAAATAGAAATAGTCGAAACTCTGTAGCTTTCCATCGTTTGACTTCCAACAATGATCTTGGCTTTCGTAAAAATTCGTTCGGTATCTGCTTATTAAAGGCAATATATTCTTCGGAAATATTTTTGGTTTGTTGGAAAGAAAAACGATACGGTGGTCTTCCAGAAAGCCACAGGTTATTGAGGAGTTTCTTCATGATGCCCAGGCACACTAAGTGCATATAATCAAGCGGAAAACTTTTTACCATATCAAGACCCGGAATATTTTCTAGAATGGTTGTTTCAATATGGTGGTTTTCTTGCTCTTTTGTTCGGAAACCTAAGTCTGTTCTTAAATGGAACCCCTGTAGACCTGGAAAACATGTTCTATTTTTGATATAATCCCCTTCAATATCACATTTTGTACATGATGTATAACCAGTGTGCCCCTTAATGCATTTTAAAAATGATTTTGCTGGAACATCACAAATAAAAGCAACTATTTTGACATTATACTTTATATCATTAAACAAAAATCCAGAATTTATAAGTTCGACAGCTTCTACAACAAAATCTGACATAAAATCATTGCAACTTTTTGGCTTTTCATTGCCTTGGTAAATTCCACAAATTTCAACAAAGTTTTTATTTTTTAAAAGGTTAACCATTAAAGGCCAAACTTGGTTTCCAGAACTTTTGGAAAGTGGCAAGCCATCTATATTTACACAAATTTCTAGAACATTACTGTCAAAAGTATTTTCTTTTAAAAATTCCAATGTCAAATTTTTTAGACATTGTGCCAACCCAAAATGATAATAGAAACCTGGATTTACAATTTTAATTTGGGAACCAGTGTGCCTAGGTGTTTTTAACAGGGTCCTGGGGTCTTTAGGTAGATCTGGAATATTGTGACGTAAAATACCTAGAAGATCGGATAATGCAGAGTGGTTTATATTGTGGTTTACAGCCCAATTTGCTAAAGAGTTTTTCAAACTTTGTGACTCGCCCTCGGACTCGCCTTGTGATGCATCTTCATATTTTTGATCATTTCGATTAAAGAGAAAGGGTTTCAACCTGTTTTCAGCAAGGTTTTCAGCTAAGGAATCATTTTCATCAGAGGTAGAGTCTGAGACTTGGGATATACTGTCTGTGTCTGAATTGTGATTTGAATAATTGCGCTGAGGATCAGATGTTGACATATGTGCTTTAGGAATGAAGCAGTCACTATTTAAGGCATCATAAGAAGGACCTTGCCCAAAAGTTAAAGCCTGCGAAGTTGATGCCTCAGACTCGGCTTCAGAAATAGCTGTTTCCTTTTGCTTGAGGCGTTTAAAACGTTGATTAAATTTGTTGAAAAGCTTTCTTTTTTCTTGGGGCTCCATGATAATAAATATAAAAAAAGAAAATAAAAAAATAAGTACTTAGGTACCAAATCAATAACAAAACCAAAATCTGGAGCAAAATCCTAAAGTCTGTTACCCAAGTTGAAGTTATTCAACGCCTTGCCTCGAGAATTAAGGACAATAAGGGCATCAAGGACAAAAAACGATTAAGGAAATACTTTGTGAAATTAGAACCTTATAGCTTAAAAGATTTTTGTTGTAATTTGTAAAATTGAAGCAGCATTTGTTTTGTGACGCCGCTTCACTTTGTGTCCATGTTCCATGTAAATATAATTTGAAGTATAGCTATTTATTATTAAACCACTAACCAAAGGTCTTCAAGTGGGTGAACTTTAGTTTTACTCAACTTGAACACCTAGAATTAATACAAACTATGAAAACGAAAAATAAATATTGGTAATTTTTTTCTTACCTAATGAATAAGGGTTATAAACCAGACAAGTTGAGTAAGTTTGGTGTAAGTGGGTGTGGGGTAGTTGAAACGAGGTTGAAACAGTTGTTCGAAGTTTCTAAAACACAACAAAGTTTTAACTTATTTCAAATTAATTTCAGTTCCAGCTCCAACAAATAAAATGACAAAAAAGGTTATGTTACTGACGCCCGTGCATGCCGCCCTTTTTTTAATTTTTTTGAGGTTATGTTTTTCTCTTTTGCATAAAAATATCAAATAGGAATAAATTGTCAAAAAAGCAACTCACACTCTAAACAAACAATAAGCAGCAAATATATGGTCATGGTCTGTCGACTATCAACAGGAACACGATTGAAAAAAGAAAAAACTCAACGCGTACCTACCCGGGAACGTGTCCGTGGCGTCAGAGTGGGAAAAACCTGTTGACCAATTGAATGGTCGATTTCTATTGGTTAACTGACGACTGACGCCATAATTGAATTTGAATAACCGGATTAACAATAACCTATTAATAATAATTATGCAACTTTATCTTACAACAATAGTTTTTCTTACCAACTAATAAACACTGCAGAGATCCTTTCGAACAAAAAATGCACTGTAGCGAAAAACAAGCTGTGGAAAAAGCACGAAATCTCGCCACAGCACCAAGCACAGAGGCACAGAGACGTACCGCCAGCGTAGGACCCGACCGACTCTACTCATACTCAACCTCACACTGCCCGATGCCCGACTCCGACCCGCTGGCCGCTGCTCATTGGCTCGTCACCGCTGCCACGCCACACACGAGCCCGTGATCGGCCAACATCGTTGGGGCCGAAGTGTGCATGCTCCTTCCATAATTTTTTTTGCGCGGCATTTTTGAAAATTTAAATTTGAATAGGTACATAATTCTTAGGCTTTTCACCACTGATCAATATTTTATTATTTTATAAGTCAAATTATTATTTTTTTGTTGCTATTATTCTAAATAAATATTATTAAATACCTAAAAATCTATACCTATATAGGTATATATTTATACATACTATGTAAATTTGAAATTAGTTTATTAGTGCGTGTATGAGAGAATCGTTTTTAGGAACCACACAAAATTTACTACCTAGTTTTGTAAAATGATGTTATTAGCAATCTTTTATATCTAATTTTGAGAACAAAAAATCTTTTGTCAATATTTTCAAAAGGATGTTTCTAAAACATTTTGGGACAATCATCCTAGAGATGTTGCATTGGAAACATCGCAGCGATGTACCATTTATGTCGGAAACATAAGGACCTTTATGGCACATAAATGGGATGTTTCTGGCAGATCGGTGTTATTAGGGTGGTTATAAGTTTAGTTTCGCTAGCTTTGCCTATGCTGCGCATTCGCCACTTATCAGAAATGGTAAGCGCATTCGCCACTTATCAGAAATGGTAGGTACCTACATGAAAATTTAAAAAAATCAAAAACTTTGAGGCTTAAGCACAAAAATGACCCTCTTATATTTTCAATAACGTCGCAAAAATTAATACTTTTGTGACGTTTAAAAAAAAAAACGAAAATTTGAAGATAGAATCAAAAAAATTCTGCCCCGGGTGAGGATCGAACTCACGACCTTAAGATTATGAGACTTACGCGCTGCCTACTGCGCTACCGAGGCCTTGTTATAAACAGGTCGAAAACTATTTTCGCTTCTGCCAACCTTGCTTGCAATGTTGTTTACACTGCTCAATCAAATTATTCTAATTTCAGGCAAAAATCTCGAACATGGACTCAAAAAAGAAGGTTTACTCTCCTTCGTGAGGGAATTGGACGGAAATGAAAATGATTCGATCGATAATTATTTGAGAGATGCTAGTATGTATGCTAGAGGTGAGTGTAATTGATTTTGAATGAAGCAAAACTAAAAAACTATAATTGTATATTTTCAGTGGTTATATTGAGCGTAAGGGGAGCTTTAGTAAGAAAATTCATGTTAGCTGCTCATAGTTTAGGAATGACTAAAGGAGATTGGATATTTCTGGATGTTGAAATATTTCAGGTAAAAACCAAAGATAACTACCTACTAAGTAACTTAGACCGGTGTTACTCAACACCTTAATTTTTAATTTCTAATTCTCATTTCTTATAAGTGCTTAATTCATAACAAGTTAACAGCGTGTTATTAAATGATTGCGTTTAGCCAATTCCTTATTCCTTATTTCTTATTCTTACTTTTTAAGAACGACCTTGAAAGATGGCAACTTTTTAACTTTACGAATTAAGAAATAAGGAATTAGGAAAAATACGAAATGCGCATGTGTTCTAGATCAGCTGTTCAACGTTCGAAAAGGAATAAGGCTTTATTTTGTCTTGTGTTTGTGTTAGTTGAAAACAACATGAAATAAAAAAACACCTATATTCTTTTAAAATAAAAAACCCATGAACACTGAAGTCTTATATACTTGGAGGCCGGAAAAAAATTAGGTAACTGGGTAACAGGACCACATCGATAGCTAATATTTTACGAAATAAGAATTAAGCACTAAGAAATAAGAATTAGAGATTAAGAGTTAAGGAGTTGGGTAAAGACGGTTTTACACTGACAATTTATTGGTCAATTTATTGAACAAGTCGCTTGTCAAGAAATATTGATAATGTAAAACGCCAAATTGGCGGCAATTTAACTTGTCCAAGTTCTCGCTCAATGGACCTTTCTCATTTTACCTGTGCTGCGCGCGCAGCTTGTGGGTGACAGCTAATAAAATTGTCAATTGAATGAATGCGGGAACGCGGTCTGACCCTGACGTTTTTTAAGCTAACCTCAATAATCAATCAATTTTGCTGAAAATTATTACAAAAACTGTTTATTATACAATGGTTCAAATGTGTTGTGTGAGATCTTGTCAGAGTAAGGCGAAAAAGAAGTCAAACCTTTCTTTTCACAAGTTCCCAAGCAATTAAATTTTAAAAAAACAATGGTTACATGCTTTCAACTTGACTGAAGACGATTTAAGTTGGAACAGAGGTTTGAGGGTTCGTAAAATAACGATTTCTATATCAAATACAATAATAATTGTACAATTAAAGGTTTGTTAGCACTTGCAAATTCGTACTTCTCAAATTTTTCTAAATTTTTCCCCCACATATTTGTCATATTTACATTTAAAAATAAACAAAAACAGAAACATAACCGAAATTGCACAATTTGACATGTGGAACCAATCAAATTCATTCCACACAGGTAGCCCGCGTCATTATATGAGTCTCTTTCTTAATTACATGAATTTTAATAAACTATCCTTGTTGTTCATTGCATGAGAAAGGTCCATTTATTGACGGATTAGTGCATGTTCTATTTTCCGTCAATTTTTGTGTCAATTCAGGATTTCAACCTAGAAATGACTCTTTAAAAATATTAAAGCTAGATGAGGATATTTATTTTTATTTATCATTTACTTGTTGATGTTCAGTTTATTCTTCTACCTTCAGTTTCTTCTAGTTTTATTATTAAACATTTTCAAATATATTCCTGGGTGAGCCATAAATAAAAATATATAACCTTGAAATTCTGGTTAAGTTGGTAGAATTGTTTATTGTCGCTTGTGTTGTCAACAAGCTGATTAGCTGATCCGGTGTAAAGCGAAGTTGAGCCATTGTTGAGCCAACATAAATTGGCAAATAAATTGACAAACAAATTGATCAATTTAAATTGTCAGTGTAAAACTAGCATAACACCGGCCTTAGAAGTTGCTATCTACTAGCTTTTTGAATTAGGTAATTATTGTCTTCGGCATTTCTGTTGGAAACATCTCTAGACTCCAAATTATATGTAAAATACATATTATTATACATTATTTACTTATGTAAAAGCTATATTTAAACATCACATAAGCAGTAAGAAACCTTTAATTTACATGGTATTTACATCAACACATGACATAAAAGTAATCTTGGTAAAAAGCAGATGATTTTGGATTTACATAAATGTTACACGAATATTTCAGATGTGTTTAGTAACTCCAATGCCTTCAGCTTTCTTTAGCTTTCCAAGATCTTCTTTAGTTTTATTTTATTTTATTTGATCTCAAACTATATTGCTGCCGCGTAGTTCAGTATTTAATAGTTGTATAACCTTTTATAGGTAGCTGATTTTTCAACATAGTTTGCAACAAAATAAGTAAATATATATTACTTACTGTAGGGTTCCTACTGGGGCGATCACGACTGGAAAGCTGGAGACTTTGAAGACCATCAAGCAAGAAAAGCCTACGAAGCACTACTGAGAGTTTCCTTGTTGCACCCCACTAGCGACAAGTTTCAAGATTTCACCGATAAAGTCAAAGAAAGATCATTGAAGGACTACAACTACAGCATCAGCGAAGGCGAAGAAGTCAACTTTGTAGTGGGCGCATTCTACGATGGCGTCTACCTTCTGGGGATGGCCCTTAACGAAACCCTTTGGGAAGGCGGAGATATAAGGGATGGAGTCGATATAACTTTGAGGATGTGGAACAGGACTTTTACAGGTGATAATATTTAGGTATACCTTGATGAGTTTTTGATTAATTTTTTATGTAATTTCAGGGATCACAGGACGTGTTCGTATAGATGATAACGGTGATAGGGATGCTGATTATTCAATATTAGATTTGGATCCGATAACAGGGAAATTTGAGGTGAAATTCCACTAATTCTTATCCCAAAAAAGAATCTCACATTAAATAATGAATTTGGTCAATTGTCTTGTTTGCAACATTGCAAATATAAAGAAGTTGACTAATAATAATATTATTATCCAAAGGTCGTGGGTCATTACAATGGAATGGACAAACGCTATGCCCACGTTCCAGGAAAACGTATCCATTGGCCTGGAGGAAGAGAAGGACCACCGCCCGACATTCCGAAATGTGGATATTTGGACGATAATCCTGAGTGTAGGGACAGAGGTGAGTTTTGAATTTTTTCTTAGTTGTTTCACGTTATCGAATATAAGATGAAACTCGTTTTAAAAAGTTAATAAATATAATGATATTTTCAAATGCTGCATTCAAAGAGGCTTACATGTTAGTGATCTACGGATCGTTTGCGTTTGGAGTGTTTTTAGCTTTTGCGTCTACACTTATTTGTGTGGCTTATAAGTAAGTATCCCGATAGTAGTAAAAGTAATGGTAGTTTAAGGATTTATTTATATGATGATCATGTCCTGTTTATCCTCAAAGACGAACTTATTTTCAAAGATACTTATTATGTAGGTATTATTATCATGTTATAGATATATCTTCTTTCTTCTTCTTCGTCAGCCCGTGTCGATCCATTGTCGAATATAGGCCTCTTCCAGGTTTTTCCATGTCCCGCGATCTCTCGCTAATCTCATCCATTGTTCCACTGCTACCGTTCTGACAACGTTTATCCATCTCTTTTTCGGTCGTCCCACATTTCTTGTTCTTGTCTCCAGAGTGCCGTTTTCTGGGTCCATACCAGGGATGTGCCGTTGACTATAAAATCTACTTTACGCGGTTTGTCTACTAGTTATCTACATATTGTATACATCCACTTTTCTCCATATAGTCTATGTAAACTATATATGTAGAAAATGTAGACTATAGCGTAGACAACGGAAAATTTGGAATTTGAGTTATTTTTTTGAAAGTTTGCATTGCATTAAATTTATATTTTATTAAATTAGACATTATCTGCTGCTTATTCAACTTTACAAAGCAAAAAACAGAACAAAGCAAAAAGAGAAACATAACCTTAAAGGCCTGACAACTAGACGATTCGAATCAGCTGACAATTCAAGATGGCGATGCGGCATGAATGTAAACAAACCATTGAGGTTAAACATTAAATCAATTTACTTTAATGTTCGTAGTTAAAACCGAGTTACTTGGAATATTTATCTTCCAATGAAATACCTGGGGGCATCAGCTACAAAACGGAACCCAAGAAGCTGTGCAAATGAATGTCAAAAACATAAATTTCATGAACCACAGCAACGCCAAAAAAAAAAAAAAATATCGAAAAACATTCTACAAACAGATAAAAACACTTTAGAAATTCACAGATAATGCACAGTCTCTTATGGACCTCTGCGTTTTTATTCCCATCAAATTTTACCGATAGATCTATGTCGGTCATTGTCATTTTTCATTCACTAAACAAAGATAGCTAGTTTGTTATGCCGCAACACCATCTTGAACGTCAAACATCAAATCGCCCTACTGTCAAAAATTGTATACTTTACGTGTTGTCTACATATTTTACACGTTGTCTACATAGATTACATAGTTTACATTGTCCACGCGTTGTTTACATCGAAACGTAGACAATCTTTATTTACGCGTAGATGCCCATCCCTAGTCCATACTATCTGGGTCCTGTCTCGCCACATGTACGATCCATTGCCACTTCTGACTTACTACCCTTTTCACAACATCCGTCACATTGGTTTTATCACGTATCTGTTTATTCGTATTTTATATCCATTGTGAGATAATTAGTATTATTGCTTCGAAGGTTCTAGTCTAGTTATGGTATTTTTAATACTCATTAAGAATAACCCCATCCTTATTTATCAATCTCTAATCAGATGAAACAAAAAATTACCAACAAAAACGAACGTCGATTGCTTATTCGTCAATTTCATGTACAAATTAGACTATCCAAGATGCTGTCGAACTTAAATTAAAATGTCCGCCAAGAGGCACACAAACCCTTTGTTCGCTTGTCAAAGTCACGTGTTTTGGATAGGCTAATAGGAAATTTTTAATTTGTGTGTTCAAGAAGCGACATAATAGGCATTTTTTAGCGACATCCCAGTAGTAACCGTTTATTGGTGCGGTTATATACGGTAACACTCCTACTTCAAAAATATATCCCTCTCATTGGCAGATTTGTAGGATTAAACTGCTTCTCGCTTAAACGGAACGGTTATCGAAATTTTACAGTAAAGTGAGGTTAGTTTATATTTTGAGGTAATCATAAAAGAAATGAAGTCAATAATTAAGTCCTTATTACTAATTGACGATATTATGTTTGAAAACACCCTGTATATTCTAATTTCTAAGTCTCATCGAGTCAAGTATAGTGGTCCCTTGAAATGTATATTGCGAGAAAATCATGAGAGACAGTTTATAGACCATAATAATATGTGGATTATTGTCTCCTTCAACTTGATGACTCTATTACCGGCGACACCGGCGAGATCTTTTTTGATATCCTCAAAAAACCTCAGAAAAAAAACTCACTTTTACACATCAAAATAATCACAAATGAATCTGAGATTAGAATTTTTCAGTTACTCCAACTCTCGACTTAGGTATCAACAACAATAACCGTGTGATAGAATGATGACGTCTCATCCCGCACCTGAGACAACCGAGCCAAAGGAACATACAATTTGTCGGCGTTACGCGTCCTATAGTAATTAACGTCGTCAAATCTTGCACAGCCACCAGACTTCTTACAAACTCGACAAGCACACTGCAAAATATAGATATTTATGACAGCTGGTATTTTTTCCCTTTTAAAGGTTACACGGCATGATTCCCTGAAGGAAAGTCTGAAAATGGTGCGGATAATGCGTTTTTGACATATCAGCACCCTCTTGACACCGCAAGGATTCCCTCAGAGGCGGACAATCCATAGGCCAGAGCAGATTGCACCGTTGCAAAGTAGAAGGTTTTCAAAGTTCTATAAGTATCCACAAAATCTCTGAGCTGCAGGATGGCATAGTTGCTACGCGACAACTTTTTGCACACTGACTCAACTTGATCATCCCAAGACAAATGTCTGTCAATCACTCCCAAAAACCTGGAGGAGTCTTACTGAGCCAGGCCCACAGGCCAGGCCAGTCCATCCCTCCCTGAGGAGTAGGCTTCTATTCTCGACCACTCGCATCGGAGTAAGAACCATGAAGTTGTTCTTTAAACCATTCAAACAAATACCATTCCTCTGGCACCTGCCTGCAATCTCAGCTACACATTTGCTGCCTCTCAAGTGAAGTGATTCATAGTCACGCCATGTGACGAGTACCGATGTATCATCAGCAAAAAGGGTAATAAAGCTGTCATCAAGCAAAAGAGGCGAGTCATCCCAATAGGAGACTGCTACTCGACCTTCAACATTTAGCCTGACAGCCTGACAAATATGATAGCAGCCACCTGTAAGCTGGGCCTCTTATTCTATAGTAAAAAATTTTATTTAGAAGTATGTTGTTGTTGGTATCGAAAGCCTTAGTGAAATCAAAGAATATACCCACTGATTTCAACTTATTAGAATCGAAACCATCTAGAATTGCGGTATACAGCGAGACTATTGCACCGTTGTATAGAGATCCCAGCTCAGTGTCTAAATTGACGGCAGGATAGAATGCCAAACGCGCCCAAAAAAGCAACAAGTCTCCTCCCGAAGGACCTCTCAAAAATCTTAGAGAATACAGACAGCAGTGCAATGGGTTCTCAACCAGCGATGTTTGACCCTTTTTGTAAAGTGGTATCACAATGGCTGCCTTGAATTCTTTAGGAAAATATCCAAATTGAAAAGACATGTTCAGAAGATAGGTCAGCACAGGGAGAATATTAGAAGCACATTTACACAATAAATTACAAGGAATCTCATCCGCGCCATGACCTTTTTCCCGAGACAGATTTAATATTCTCATGAGTTTCACTCTCAGTAAGAGGGAATAAGAAAATAGATTGCACTGCATGGCATATTAATGATTGTAGGTGCCTGAAAATTGTCCAGTAGTTCAGCTACTGAGCCGATAAAAAAGTCTGAAGGTGTTTGCAATGTTCAGACTTCCGGTAACATTCCTGCCGTTTGCTGTAATCGTATCAGGAACAGACTTTGACTTGCAATTTGAAAAGCCTGTAGTCGAATTAATATTCCAAGCGGCTCGCGTAACATTTCCGGAGGCACTGGCGTATCCAGAGGGGGGCAAAGGGGGCAATTGCCCCCCCCCAGAGCAACATCTTTTTATTCCCTTTATTTTTTAAAAAATTGTCAAATCATAAAAAAATAAATTCAAAAATGTAGGTACTGAAATTAATTTAATAAATAATACTTTTTTCAAGTAATGACATGAACAGGTAGCTTTTTTGCTCGCTTTTTTGTAAATAGAAACTGTTCAGTTGTACGCTGTGATAGGTCTGTTCCCACAGGAGTCTCCGACAGTTTGCAACCTGTCAGAAACAATCGCTCAGCTGAGTTACAGATTGATCTTGGACCGACAGCATTGAAAACATGTATGGGCGATTTTTACTGACAGTTTGCAAACTGTCAGAGACTCCTGTGGGAACAGACCCCTTGACAATCAGGGAATAAAAGTCAAATTACTAGTTTTATATTCAGCGTAGGTAATGTATATTACTAGCTGCCTAGCGCTTTCACCTTTGAGCCATCATCACTCATCAGGGCTCAGACTTTGTCAAAAGGCGACACCACCAAAAACACAATAACCATCTTCCTCAAAAGCAATAATAATTATCTGGTAAAGCTGGTAATGCAAAAGGTACCTTTATGATTCAATCTTTCTGTGGAATGTACAATCATTTAGCTCCTATTGCGTAGCCTATATTTCAAATTTGGGCTTAATCCCCCAAAAGCCGCAGGAGCTATAAAGAAAAAACTAAAAAATATATGTAAATTTCAACACCCTTTAGATCAGTGGTGGCTGGCAGGCTAACATTACGGAACCCTAGCACTACCTTATTTTTCTGTGGAAATATTATATATTTTGTCCTACAAAAGTATTGAGAGAAGCGAGCGAATACTCGATTTTGTGGTTTTGAAGACTTTTGTATACAAAAACCCGGACATACCAGGTTTGCCCCTCCCCCAGAACCTCAGGCTGGATACGCCACTGTCCCGAGGTTATTATTTGTTGAGAATTGATAGCTCTTTTAGCAGTGGCAATATTTTTTCTATGATCCCTCAATCTGGGTCTATATGACCAATGCATTTCGAAGTTGTCTAGAGATTTTATTTGGGTATGAAGAAGTCTCAACTGTATACCTTCATTGATAATTACGGGCGTTATCCACGGATGAGACACCCTTTTAGTGGACATGCGTTTTGCTGCACATGGAAAGCATATGTTAAACAGACTGTGAAAAATGTCGAAAAAATAGGTAAATTTA